TTAATATAAGTAATAAGGCTAGTAAGAATGGAGTTTGGAAGTAAATTGGCATACTAGAAGAATAGTGTTGGGGTTTTTGCCTTTTCTTCTTTTAGGAAAGGCAAACATGCCAAAAGAGAAGGTTTTTCAAAACCTGCTTTTAACAGGTCAAGCGAAAGTGTTGCTTGGTGACAGAATTGTAGGAGTTCAAGTCCATGATTCTATGTAGTCAGAGAAGGCAGAGCTTTGAAAAACTGTTTTATTTAGAAATGGAGTCCACTAATTAGGTATAGTCTATATATATAGTATTCCAGAAAGTGTTAAGTAGGGGTGGATAATATGTGCATTCCAGAGCCATTTTTCCGCCCCTTCAGCACTCATGGGGCCATCAGCTTCCCTAGAGGGCCCCCCCATTATTTTTTGCCCAGAAAGTCCGTGTGTGTGCTCTAGGTGGCATTGGGGGATAATTTGCCTTGTTTTGAGGGGGCCTAGCCCTCAGAGACCCACAATCACAGAGAAAGGAGATGCAAGAGAGGGTTTTTGTTTTGTTTTTTTAATTTTTTTAAAAAGGTTAAATCTTGCATGCATGGGCAAGACATGGCACATCTTAAAAGCATGTGAAACACCATTTCCCCGTGCAAATGAGGGATAATGTGAACTAAGCACTTCTTAAGTGTTCAGTGATTAGATAAAATAGATTGTATAACAGTGAGTTTAAAAATTGCTCTGCAGTGGAGAGTTAAGGTTGACTGGATTAAAAAAAGGAAAAGAGGGATATCCTATACATTATATGTGATCACAGGCAGACTCCAAAGAAGAATGAACTGCAGCCAGAGATGCTTCTGATGGTTTTTACTACAGTTAGTTGCCTTGAGTGTGCAAAGTTAATTTTAAGCATCAAAACGGCTTGCATGTTTGCTGGGTAAGTAGCTGCAAGAAAAATGGTCAAAGCACCCCTAATTGTTTTACCCAAATACACACTTGTGGGTATAGAATTGTTGCACTAATGTGGATACTGTGGATATCCTGATGTTGATACTGCTGCATATTGAAATTAGTTCATTAGCTCTGTGTCTTCCAGCTTTGCTAAATGGGTGTCATTTAGAATAGTCACAGAAATTGTGTGCCCTGAAAAGAAAGTAACTATTGATATGTGCATTTTCTATTTGAGAAAATAGGAATTGTATTTGTTTCCTCTGTCTCACTATTGGTGGTGTGCTAAAATAACAGTGGAATTCAGACAGGGAGGTGGAAGAGTCTAAGAAGAGCAAGGGTGATAAAAGACAGCTTTGTTGAAAAACAAAACAAAACAAACCACAAAACCACCCAGTCCCCCAAACCTTTTCATTGTAGACTTGACACTGCTATGTCATTTGAAACTTAGAGGTTTCTTTTTTAAAAAACTGGGGAGGGGGATACAAAAGCACCTGTTGAATTTTCTGACTGACTTTTGCCACCCCTCTCAGAGCTATCACATCTGTTTTCATATATTGGAACACAACTTCAGTTTAATTTCAGCACTGAAAGTACAGTACTTTGCTCTATTTGAACTTGGTGGATTACCAGGGAGAAGGTTTCCTTGTTTTTCCTCTGCTCTCTTCAGCCTCTACACATCATTGTGGTGTTGCACATTAGCCAATTTCTGTCCTTCTCCACAAAAACTGCAAGTCTTTCAGTCCTGCTGCCAGCATTGCTTCTTCAGTGAGGCAGGTTCTTCTGCAGAGGTCTGTGAAGAATGTCTTAGTTTCAACAGAACACGTTGTACTCCTCACGCATAGGAAACATAGATCAGCCTAAGTCATATAGGTGCCTTATATTTAATTATACCATTGGTCCTTCTAGGGTAGTGATTCCTAACGTTGGGTCCCCAGATGTTCCCGGAGTAGAACTCCCAGAAGCCTTCACCACTAGCCCTATTGACTAGGATTTCTGGGAGTTATAGGCTGTGGTGTTTGCCCTTGTGGCCCCTGCTTATCTTTCCCTCACAAAGGCTCACGTCGCATTTACTTCTCGCTACCACCAGTGGATTACCTCAATCTACAATATAAATGACGTTTGTCTGAACACTTGTCTTGTGAACAGAAACAGAAATTATTTATTGAAGTGAAACAGATTGAATAATAACAGAATTTCTTCAGGTACACATTATGCATAAGCAAATCATCAACAGTTTTCTCAGTACAGTACATACTTTTCTCTTGCTATATCATTACCACCTTCTCTATCTATTTTTCTAACCAGCTCTATCTCTCAATATCTGTTGCCTCTTTCTCTGACTAACCAGCCCTATCTGACTCCTCCTCCTGCCAGGCCTCATGTAGCTGCTGACTCCGCCCGTCCAGTCCTCTCATAGGTTCATGCAAATCAGCTCATGAATATGAAGAGCAGGAGTGATGTGGGCGATCGTCACATAGGCTAAGAACATCTGGGAACCCACAGTTGAGAATCACTGCTCTAGGCCAATATTATCAGCTCTTATTGACAGCAACTCTCCAGGGTTTCAGGCACAACAGCTTCCTGCCAGTAGATCCCTTGAATAAATTGGTGATGATCTCCCATGCTTATTTCGTAGCCTCTAAACAGCATGTGCAAAAGTTTGCACACCCAATGAGTAATCTTTCTGACACCAGTGTTGGCATGTGTGTGCAAGTGATTGTATTGTTGAGGAGCTGAAGCTAAGGAGATTGCAATTTGCCTAAGGTGGTTTAGTGAATCCATAGAAATGACATTTCTGCTAGCGCTTGGCAAAATTACTTTTTTGGGTTAAAAGTTGCAAATTTCTCTGGCCAACATAGTAACTGTCAAGTATAGCTAGAGCATTCTGGGACCTTTGGTTTTAAAAAGGAACTTTTTGACATTCTGATTTCCATAGACTTCGTAAAATGATAGCACAGGAAGCTGTAATATGGAATAAGCGGACTGTCCTTACGGCTAAATTCTTGGCTAGTATCCCATGGGCAGTATTCATTGTCATTATATGCCATTGCACAACCAATTCCAACATTAAAATGGCTATATAAGCCTATATCCGCTTAATTGCCTTATATGTGGTTTTGTGCAGCAGATGATCACAGGCATTTGTGTAGCACAATTGCATCGCACAATGCTCTGCTGTCCTGTAACTGCATCTTCCTTTTTCACACACATATGGTGGTGATGTGTGATTACAAACAGGATACAGGTCTTGTTGTGCCCTAGGCTTCCATTTTTGGTTGGTTCTACTGGTATTACCATTAATCCCTACTAACAGAGATCATTGGTTTCTGTGATCACTATACCAGAGTTAATCCAGCTCATGATGGATTATGCTACATCATGTCATAATACATGAATATTTCCAAAGGGAGCACAATGGAAGAAGCATATGGCAGCTAATGTAGAACATGTTGGTATCAGTATCAGTGATGAACTCCTAGTGTCATGTCTGCACACATTCTAATTAGTATCCATAGCCACCTCTTTCACTAGGCAGAATTGAGAAAGCTGCATCAGGAAGCAGATCTTGAGTGTCATGAAAAAACAGTAGATGTTAATTATTTGATATGTTGCATTTTCATTGGCAGCTTTCTGCTAAACAACATACATTAATCATAGTGCATCTCTTGGGTGAGAAGATTCATTCCTTCTGTGTCTCAGGTGTTGGCTGCTTCGTGTCTCGAGCCTCAGTTTAAGGTTTAAAGAGGGCTTGGTGGAATGCAATGGTGATGGTTTTTTGTCCATTGCCTTATGTACTGAGATGGGTTCCTTATCTTTGTCTTCAGCAAGTACTGCGCTCATAAGCAATGGATATGAAGTCCTGCCAATTATGTTTTTAACATTTTATCATTTTGTAAATAGACCAAATGTGCAAGTAAAAAGTTATGCTTTGAATATTTTTGAAGCTTAGAGAAAAGGAAGCAGAACCCTAGTGGGCAGAACTTGGTTTGAGTGATGAATAAAATATAATTGCTTTGTCCTCATTAAGAGAAGAAGAATCAGTGTTATGTGCAGTCTAGCCAACTTTTCTGACAGGTTCTCTAAGTTAATACAGCATTTAGCATTTTAAAGGATACATTAATATAAGCACATTGGATTTTCCTTCAATAGTTTGTCATTTTATGTCTCATGCAATTATTTCTATTTTTTGATCTTGTACTGTGCCTTTGCTTTTCAGAGGGAATAAGGAATCATTGTTCATATTCTTTACCTCACTCTGTAAATAGCCAAGGACACATTTTTTTAAAGGGCAAAGATATTGTTATGGGTCAGGTTGGGTCTTAGTGATTTCCTTTAGTTTTGGTGTGACTTAGCTGCTTACACTAAGTTGTAATTTAATGGGGGATTGTGGTTGTTAGGTGGCAATCCTAAATGTGAGTGGTTGGGATAAAGTCCTACTGAACAGAGTGGATCTGTGGGACTTACTTCTGAGTAGATGCTTCCACAACTATGTATTATGCCATCTGGTTGGCTCACATCTCCCTACTGCATGAGGGGAAGTGGTGAATCTTGTTTGCTTTGTTTAATGTTGAAGTGTGGGCTGAGAGACATGGATCTGATTCACTATAGCTTGATGTTCTGGGTTGCTTTGAGGTACGCAGTACTTTAGAATCAACAACACCTTGTGCTTTTATTCCTACCTATTTATTTTGTTAATGGACAGATAGTTGCCTGCTTCTTCCTCTTGAGGAAACTGCCTGCTGGGAATTTCTTACCTGTTACAGAATCGGAGTGCCAAAAACTAAAAATTAAAAAAAGGTCATTGTATTATATTTAACAGCATTAATTTACACTTAACATTAACTTGTTTAGGGTGACAATTACAAAATTAAAGCACTACTCTCTCTCTCACTCTCTCTCTGTCACTCTCACTCTTATTTTGAGAATAAGAACCTGGAAAGTTTATTTTCTGGATGCCCATTGCACCAGTTGGTTCTCGGTTTATTTATGTTAGAGGAAACTGATTGGATAGTTTGGGAAAACTAATGTTTTTCTTTAGTCTATATGCTGTATTATCTTCCAAACCTTGTTTATTTGTTTGTCAGGTTTTAGGACTTGTTCAAAACATGAGCATTTTCCAGTGTCCAAGATGCAAGCACGAAACTCAAATTTTTGGAGCTGATGGCGTGAGACGTCTAGCCAGTGATCTTGATTTGGATGTTTTAGGTAAGATGAAATGTATATTTTAAAGCATACTTGGAAGCAAATGGGATGCAATAGTGCATGTGTTTGCTATTTAGCTGCCTTTGAATGAGTATGCATTAAACATTAATTAGAGTGGGGTTGCTGACTGCATGAGAGCCGGTCTTTCAGGTTTTTCAGCTGGGGTGCAATAGAGCAGAGCTTCCTAGCCATGTTGCCTGTGAAGAAAATTATGCACTTACAGCTCGGAACAACAGCATTGGGGCAGCTGGGACACAAAAATCTAGCCTTCCTTGTTGAAGAATCTGGCACTCACTGGTTTCTGATCTGTTCTGTAACCTGTAACACTTCAACTGTAAGTTGATAATGAAGCATACCAAGCATACTCTAATTAAATCAGGAGATGAGATAATAGTGCCTGTTAATGATATATATGTTCATGGGCTGCTATGATTACATTGGTTCATGCAGATTATTTATTAGGAATCAAGAAGTTGCTTTTACTAAAATCCTCACAGAAACATCAGGATTTCACAGGCAGAGCAGGAAAACTCGTAATTAAAAATACACAGTTGGGTTAACTTGGCTGTCAACCAGAAGCCTAATGAGGATTAGAGTCTAGAACTCAGCCTTGAGTTGTACTGACCATCAGTAGGAAGTCTCCAGTGGCGAAACTTCCCACAAATTAGGGGAGATTCGTTGTTTTCTTGACATGTGCAAGCAAATAATTAAGAAGTGACCTGTGCTGGTACAAAACAGGACAGTCATGGCATGAGCTAATAATACGGAGAAGTATAGCAAGCAAAAAACAAAAACAAGTAAAAAAAAAACTTGGCAAGAACTCTTACATCAACATGACTGATGTAATTTTGTGGAGCTGAAACTTTGAACATAGTTGTCAAAGGGCTGGAATTTTGTTATATAACTTGTACTCCGTAAGGCTGATGACATCATCAGCTCTATGTAGCATAATTTGCAGACCAGGATTTCTGCCTAAATCTGTCATTCTTGACATAGCTTGTAAAACTTACTTTTCAGGACTACAACTCTTTGGATCTTTAGTGGGTATGCTGGATGGGAAGTTCTGGGAATTTTATTTCTACAAGGGAACTTTTCGATGTCCTTCATTTTTTTCTTGTAATGCCATGTATTTCACTTAGTCATAGCAAACATGGTTCAGAATCCTGTTGGTGATTTATGTGTGTATAATGTAAACAGTGTAACTTATTGCAGTGTATTTATTGCTGACTAATGAGATGAAAGGTATACTATTAAGCGTATACCTGTTCCACAGTTAGGTAAATACTTTGTAACATGACTAGTGTCTCCTCAGTGGCAATTTGCTAAGGTAAGTTACACAACTTAACTTACACCTATATTAATCACCAACAGGATTCCGGTGATAAAATAAGGAACAAATACATGTTCCATGGTATCCAGCAGAGTGAGGAACAGGTTAAATTATTGTACACTACAGTACTACATATTTTTTTGAAATTTTGTTAGACCACTAAAATATCACAGATGAGCAAGTTTTTAAGTACTAGAGGATTCTTCATCAGGCTGGGCATTACAGAGTTGTGAGAGAGGTGAAGAACAAACAGAAATGTCCCTGGAATGGCAAATGTGAAGTATAATCCAGTACAAAGAAGTATCAGTAAATCCTGTGTTAACAGTCTTAGTCACAGTTCATGTCTTTTATTGTGCCAAACAAATAAAATGCAGCTTTCTAGATCAGCTTCAGTTACAATTTGAGAGCCTTAAAACTTTTGCCTGAATGACATGGATGTGGTACTTTTTTAAAAAATGGCTACTCCTCATTTCCATTGCCACTGGCCAGTGCGGCCAACACCTGTAAGAGATGAAGTCCGAAATGTTCAAAAGTACTTCACCCTCTACTGTACAATTGGATAGTAAATAAAATCCTTATTCCTATCTCTCACTTGGTATTATAGATTTGAGCTTCTGTCAAATATTGTGTAGTGCTGTAATTGCTGAGCTCTAGTGAAATATATTATTCAGATTTTTTTTAATTCACCATCCTAACTCTTAATATGTACTAATATATATATTTATGTATACTTTTTCTTAATTTCTGTCCTAGCCCCTTGCTGATTAGAGAAGCACAATATGCAGTTGTTAACTGTAGAGAAGGAAAATTAATTGAATATGTAACTAGCACTTAATTAAATCAGTAGTTCTCTAACAACAATAACACTGCCTTTCATTTCAGCAATTAAATATTTAAGCATGTATTTGAATATTGATTAGAATGTTACAGTACTGGAAGTCAGTAGGGAATGCAGTTCTAAAGAAATATGTTGGCTGCACAAATAAGCTGTAAAACTGGAACATTCTACAGTGGACATCATTTTAATGTGCATGCAAACAGCTGCATGTATTCAGTGTGCTCTTGGTTTGACTTTTGACATAACAGAACCACCCAGTTTGGTGCTGTAGTGTGAATACCTTCAAAGCTAGTTTTTTGTTCCAGAGTAGAGTGAACACTCTTGAGCTGAAAAGAAAACGAAATGCCCATTGGTGCATGCCTGTCTGGCGTGCTTTCTTTTGTAACCCTAAGTAGGTCATCTATGATTTTTTTTATTCCAACGATTAAGTGGTTTTAGCAAACAAGAAAGGAGACTGTCAGCTTTTGCTGATTTCAAAACAGTGCTCAATCTATTCAAAAAGGGACATGTGCGAAAATAGGAAATAACAACTTTGGAAGTTCTTGCGTTTCATTTGATTTTTCATTTCAAATGCCAGTTATTGCACTGAAATATGATTTTGCACAACTTTAATTAATGGGAATTAATGAGTGTGTATGTAACGCTGAGCCTTTGTGCCAATTTAATACAGGTGATGTTCCATTACATGTTCATATAAGAGAGACATCTGATGCTGGCAAACCTATTGTAGTTTCACAACCCCAGAGCAATGTGGTGAGTTTAATAGAATAACATAGTGGGGTTTTTTTTAAAAAAAATAATGGGACAAGGGTGGAGATTGCATTGCATTGCAAATTCATATATTTGTTCTAGCAGGATTTCATCATGTCTCAATTTTTACTTTGCTTGTGAACAGTCCTTGTGTTTTCTATCTTCTGCTGTTTCATGGCTACTTTTGAATTAAAAATGTTTCATATGAGTTCTGGGCATGCTAAGAAAGAAAAAGAAATTGAGGATGAGATGTCAGATGCTGAATTGTTTTCAGTTTACTTTTTTATTGCCAAGAGGGTGAAAGAGGGATCTTGTGCTCTTAATGACATAGAGGATACTGAATCTGCTGGTTATCTTAAGGAGGTAAAAGAATTTCTGCAATGAGGGGCAGCTTTTGCATCCAACTTTTGTCTTCTCATCTTAAAGCCCTGCAGAACTGGGAATAGGGTGCAGTACCTTGGAGCACTCCTGTGTCTTGGGGCTAAAGGCTGGAGTAGATTCATGGCCTTGCCATTATGAAGAATGATCGAGGGAGCTGGATGTGTTCAGTCTTGAGAAGAGACGTCTGGTTAGGGATCTGATAGGCATCTTTAAATCTTTGAAGGACAGTCATGTGGAAGATTTAGCGCACTGGTTCTTAACCTTGGGTTACTCAGGAGTTTTGGACTGCAACTCCCAGAAGCCTTCACCACCAACTGTGCTGGCTGTGGTTTCTGGGAGTTGCAGTTCAAAAACATCCGAGTAACAAAGGTTAAGAACCACTGATTTAGCGAACTTGTTTTTTTTAGTGCTAGAGGGTGTCAACTGAACCAACAAATGCAAATAACATGAATGGAGATTTGGGATAAATATTAGGGAGAACTTCCTGACTTTAACAGCTGTCTACTACTACTTTCCTCCATTGGAAAAACATTAGATGATTACTTGTCAGTGACTGGGATACTCAGTGTGATGTAATGGAAAGAGGGATAGACTAGGACTAAGGAGACCTGGGTTCAAATCCCAACTTTGCCATGGAAATGTTCTGGAGAGGTGGAATTAGTAAAACCACTCCTTAAATATCTCGCTTTCTTTGAAAGCCCTATTGTTGTTGTTAAGTCATGTCCGACTCTGCGTGATCCATGGACCAGAGCACGCCAGGCCCTCCTGTCTTCCGCTGCCTCCTGGAGTTGGGTCAAATTCATGTTGGTAGCTTCAGTGACACTGTCCAACCATCTCATCCTCTGCCGTCCCCTTCTCCTCTTGCCTTCACATTTTCCTAACATCAGAATCTTTTCTAGGGAGTCTTCTCTTCTCATGAGATGGCCAAAGTATTGGAGCCTCAGCTTCAGGATCTGTCCTTTCAGTGAGCACTCAGGGCTGATTTCCTTCAGAATGGATAGGTTTGTTCTCTTTGCAGTCCAGGGGATTCTCAAGGGTCTCCTCCAGCACCACAAATCAAAAGCATCAATTCTTCGGTGGTGTGATAAATGGGATGAGATCATAGAGGTTCTCGTCGAAGTGCCGTCCCCAAGTAAGACATCCCAAGAGGTACAAACCACTCCACCACCAACCCCTCCAAGAAAGATACATCAGGAGATAGACACCCAGGAGCTGGAAATGAATCTACGGGGTCTGACTGTGGCAACGCAAACGGAGTGCGAATTGGCGGGAAAAGAGGAGAAGGGGAGGGCTGTAGTGGAGGCAGGAATGGGGGGTATAAATAAGGACCATGACAACATACTGGGGGTTGAGAACTCATCTGGGTGGAAGACCCATGGACGGGGAGATGCAAAAAGGTAAAGGTGCCCTGGGAAGAGGCAGATAACTGCCATAGATGGGGACTACCCAGAAACCATCGTACTGGGGTGAATCCGAAGCACGAGAGTGGAGGAGACAACTGAGAGAGGAGAAAGAGACGGTGGCGAGGGAAGCCAAGGCACGTCGGGCATGGCGAGTGGAGAAGGCACAGAGGATGATGCACCTCTGGGACCATGGGGATGCTTTACGGGAGAGGGAGTCCCGATATGAAGAGAAGACAGAGACAATGAGACGCTACCGCTATTGAGGGAAGAAGGAACTGAGAACAGAGTTCCCAGTTATGACCCTTTTGTTTCAGGACCTTGGGAAGTTAAGTCCCTGAACCCTTTTGACTCTGATTTATGGTTGCCCTTGTGAGGCCCGTTGGTATCCCAAGAGAAGTTACAAAATGACCCGTTGAGGGATGTTATGCCATTGGCGAGAGAATTAAATACAAGTTTAAATGTTGGATTACAAGTGACTCCTGGTTTATTTGAGCAAAAGTGGGAGGCTAATAGCGAACCCTCACAGGCGGTCAGCCTTCTTTATGGTCCATCTCTTACTTCCATACATCGCTACTGGAAAAACCATAGCTTTGACTATGCGGACCTTTGTCAGCAAGCTGATATTTCTGCTTTTTAAGATGCTTGTCATTGCTTTCCTCCCAAGAAGCTGGAGTCTTTTACTTTCGTGGCTGCTGTCACCATCTGCAGTGATCAGGGAGCCCAAGAAAGTAAAATCTGTCACTGCCTCCATATCTTCCCCTTCGATTTGTCAGGAGGTGATGGGGCCATTGGCCATGATCTTAGTTTTTTAATGTTGAGTTTCAGACCATTTTTGGCGCTCTCCTCTTTCACCCTCATTAAGAGGTTCTTAAAGTCCTCCTCACTTTCTGCCATCAGAGTGGTATCATCTGCATATTGGAGGTTGTTGTTATTTCTTCCGGCAATCTTAATTCCGGCTTCAGATTCATCTGAAGCCCTATTAGGATCATTAATTTGGTTCATGGCATATATCATTAACTGCCAGTGATAGTGGAAGTGTAGATTTCCTGCTTTTGTTAGAGATCTTTGTGGTCCCTTCGAGCTCTACAATATTTGGTTGTATGAGTGAGCTCAATGAGATGAAAGAAATAGTTGTCATTGTCTCCATCAGCTCTGATTTTGGTCAGTTCCTTACTTTCCAGCTTTTATCTCTTTTCATTCCATAACTGCATCAGTCTATACTTTTTTTAAAAAGTGAATGAAAATCCTTATTCATTTTCATGCACATTTCTATTATATGCAATTTTTATTTTTATTTTTGGAGCATGCATCCATTTTTGTATTTTTTCAGCTTTGAAACTGCATTGCAAAGTTTGGAAAAGCGTAAATATTTAGCTAAAACTGTTGCTTGAAAAGGAGGAATTCTGCCCCACTTGTCATATAAATAAGCTTTTATTCAGAGATGAGAACAGAACATATAAGATAGATAGCACATTAACATTAAATAACTACTTGTAATATTTTTCCTGTGTTAACATTAATGAAGTTGTTGGGGTAACACATCAATAACACAAAGGATTGCTAATGTTTTTGGGAGAAAATGGATGCCCTCACATGTGGAGGGGGAGGACAACAAAAATTACTCATTGTCCACAAAATAGCATACATTAATTTTTGTGTTACAAGTGGGGGGAGGGGGAGAAACACTTGCATTGCCCTTTGACTCCCAAAACATTTGAAGGAGGGAATGGTGTCACTTTACATCCAAACTATAGGTGTGAAGAATTTTTTCAAGGGTTTTTATAAAAATGTGAATCTACCTGAAATGAAATCCAACTTGTTCATTACCTTCATATCCTTATGCTTTGGAGAAACACTTCTAGGGGCTTGAATATCAATAATATGTTGATCCTGCTGTGAAGAATTTGCATGGCACTTAGCAGACAAAATCACTCAGATTCTCTCTGACTTGAGTACTATAGCAGAAGCAAAAAAACATAAAAAACAAAAAAACAAAAAACAAAAAAGTGGCTTGCCTATATACTGCCCCATCTTGCTTAAAACACTATCTGGGCGGTTTACAATGTAATTAAGCAGGCTACATATTGCCCGCCCGCCCCCACAAGCTGGATACGCAGTTTACTGACCTTTGAATGATGGAAGCATGAGTCAACCTTGAGCTGGTTCTCTGAGCCTATTGGGATTGAACTCATATTGCCCGCCCCACAAGCTGGATACGCAGTTTACTGACCTTTGAATGATGGAAGCATGAGTCAACCTTGAGCTGGTTCTCTGAGCCTATTGGGATTGAACTCAGGTTGTCATCAGTCTTGGCTGCAGTACTTGCACTTTAACTACTGCACCACAAGGCTCCAATACAGGCCCTGATTAGGTAATTATGCTTTATTATTTATTTTCTTTAAATGCTGCCTTTCTCCTAAGCTTTCTCCTTATGCAGTCCGAGGATGTGGATAGGATGATTGGACAGGTGGGAGTTACCACACATGTGCTGGATTCATGCCCCTGAGGGCTTACAAAAGCAACCAGGTTTGGAGTAGCAGGTGAGGGGCTAGAGAATGACTCTTTTCACCAAGACAGAGTTCCAGCATACATACATGAGGCAGTAGCAAGACTAGAAAAGGCCAACTTGGATACTACTGTGCATAATAACTACTGTCCAATCTCCAATATTCCATTTTTGAGCAAGGTATTGGAGTCTTTATTGGCTTTGCAGCTCCAGGGGTTCCTGCATGACATGGATTATCTAAAATCCATTTCAGTCAGTCTTCAGACCTGGTTATGGGATAGAGATAGGCTTGGTCACTGGACCAGGGGAACTGTGTCCCCACTGCTTGTGCCAGACCTGTTGATGATTTTCAGTGCCATAGACCATGGTATTCTTCTGAGCTGTCTCTCTGGGATGGAACTTGGAATCCCTGATTTATAATAGCTCCAGTCCTTCTGGAGGAGTGGGTGCTGAAAATGGTGATGTGAGAATCCTGTTCAACGAACATCTTGGCTTGTGGGGCCATTCAAGATTCAATTCTGTCCCCCATGTTATTTCACACACAAACACACGCACGCACGCACACACGCACGGCGACATTGTCCAGAGGTTGGAGCCACCAATACATTGAGGACACAACTCTGTCTCTCCATCCCATCTAAATTCAAAGGAAGCTGTTTTGGTTCTAGACCAGTTCCTGGTATTAGTAATGAGTTGGATGAAGCTTAATCTAAATGAGACAGAGGTGCTTCGGGTCAGTCAAAAGGCAGATTGGAGAATAAGGACTCAGCTAATATTACATAGGGTTGCACTTTCCCTGAAAAATCAGATTTGCAACTTGGGTTTGTTTGGCCCCCACCCTGGGTGCCTAGGTTTCAGCAGTAGTTGTTTGCACAGTTGCAGCTGGTTCACCACTTTGGAATATCCATATAGCAGTAGAAAGACACCAGAGGAAAATAAAATAAAATGAGATACAAGAATTTTAAAATGTTATATTACAACTTTTCCCTCAAGGAATTGGTTGTGGGGTGATTGCATTGCAGCTTGCATTTCTATAAATTTTGGTTTGCTCGGAAATACACTTCTATTCATTTTTCGTGTAAAGGCATAGCAATATTTTCAAATTGTTGCCAGTTTATATACCAGTTTCTGATGTACATTCCAGAGCTGAAAAAGCAGTCAGAATTGCGGAGCAAGTCAAAGTATCATCAATAACAAAAACAGTTAACAACCTAACACCAACAGAGAAGTATTGATGTTACAGAAATTTATAATTACATGAGTTAGGATATGAATTTGCCCAGCTTGCAATACTTGGATGCATTATGAATAAAATGCCATTTCCTTGAGTTTCTTTTATATGCTGTGGGATAAAAATCCATCTTTGGAGGAAATTGCACAGCTCTCTAAGCTGTGATTAGTGTCCAGGAACAATGGAAAAAGAAGAGAATGTTGATGGGCAGTTGCAAAATGAGAAGACAGTATGATAAGGTACAGCCAACTTTATGACCCAATTCAGAACTTGCAAAAAAAGTATTTCTTCTACTATTTTCCAAAGACAGTTGTAACTGCTGGCCCAATTTTGAACTGAATTGACCCCATCACTAAATAAAAGAGAGAAATCTATAGCATCTTCCTAGACAGGGCCTGTGTCAATCTGTAGCCATGATGGCAGTTGGAAGCTGAGGCTGTTGGAGATTTATCTCCCAGCTAAACAGACCAAATAACAAGTGTGCCAAAAAAAATGCATTCTCTACCACTGGGCTAGAAAGGTGTCTGACAGCTCTTAAAGGGGACGGATGTATCATTCCAAATAGTAACACTTCTGGACAAGGAGTTTGTTTGTTTGTTTGTTTGTTTGTTTGTTTGTTTGTTTGACCCAAACTGCTATCAGTGATCCTTGTACCGTATCAATATGCCTGTGTGGACAAGCCTTAACTCCTGTTTAACAATCCCTGTGAGTTTTAATATAAGAAGGAAATTTACTTATGCTTTTCCATTCAGAACATCAAGAAACTAGAATTTCTCCTGGATTTATAGTAGTGTATGTCTGTTTATGGTGTGCTGAACCACCTAGTGAATGAATAGGTATCTGCTGGTAATGTTTATAGTAACTTGACAGGCATATCACACAGACGTGTTTTAGGCTAGTCTTTCTTCAAGATTAATCTTTTGAGCTTCCACAACTGACAGAATTGTTTTTCAGTCACTCTGCCTCCTTGTCCTCAGAACTGTACGTCTGAAAGCTGTAAAGAAAGCTGTGTCAGAGCATTTATATTTTCTGTGTATTCTTTAAGCTTCTCCATGAATGGAAACTATAGCATATGAAGGAGTTAAAATTCAGGGGTAGGAGTTTTAAATCTGTAAAGCTTGAAAATATTCATCCTTAGGTTCTGAGGAAATGGAGGCCCCTCCACAATAGCCTGGTACATCTTTGTCATTCATACTTTGTATGTTGAAAGAATGCTTACCTTCTTTCTTTGTTTTTTCCTCTTTGAACTATAGAACAGGCCTTTAGCCTCCAAATGATTGGTCAGCAAATTGTTAACATTCAGCTGTCAAAGTTTTCTTTGGCTGGGGAAACAGCATTCCTTTCTTTGCAGAAAAATGAGCTATCACAATTCCCATTAGAAACTCCCTAGCAAAAGGGAGGGAAAGTGTCTGAATTGAGCAAATACCATTTTTAATATAAAACCAAATTTGAGTGATGAACAAGAACTGTGACTTTCTCCTTTCCATTTCCCACTTACAATCCTCTTGTTTCTCTTCAGTTCATCTTGGGTTGCTTAGTAATGATGGCACAAACAACTGAATCCATCTTTATGATCAGATAAATGGCCCATTAAAAAGACCATGAGTAGGAGAAAAAGTTCAATACAGTATGTGTACATGTTAAGTTTATATAAAAGCATCCAGGCTAGCTTTTGATCTTGTTTCCCTGCTGAGAAATGATATAATCCGGAAGAAAAATATACTTCAATGAAAATCAGCAGTCTTTTGCCTGAATTTCCCCAACAACTAATGATCTCACCATAGTAGTAATATACAATTAGTAGCCTTCAGGTCAAACTGAACCCTTTTCTCCATTTATTCCTTTCTCTGTTCTTTGTCCATTCCACCATATGAGAGTTGGCTAGAACTAGCGGGGCTATTTGGGGCACCAAAAGATTGGCAAAAGCCTGTGAAGTTACTGCCACTGGCAAGCAGCCTGCTTCTTTGTAAGCATGTAGCCTGGAAATGAGAGAAACAGGATAAGGTTGTATTAGCAAATGGTGACAGAGCTTTAACTAATTCAGTATTGCAATCCAGTGGGAGCTGAACAACTATATTTGCAAGGTCAAAGGGGCAGAATTGTTTTAATATACTGTTGTAACTTTTGAAAGTGAACTTTTTAAAAGGTGGATGAGACCCAGCTACTCATAACAGGTTTGCTAATTTTCATTCAAGAAAGAACAGTTGACAGTGTTTCTGAAGAACTTTGTTTGTAAATTATGGAAACTTTATCTTTAAAGTTGCAACCATTTAGCACAGTGTCAATCCCCCCATCCTGTCCTCTGGCAGGAATTTGCCATACCTAAATGAATGGATAAAAATAGGATTGTAGTTCGCCTAGGAATAGTTCATGTTACAGTACAATGGAATTTTAGTAATTGAGAATTACAGTTATAGTCTTTGTTGATAGCACTTCCTTTTAAATACAGAAAATGTCCAGTTAGCTAAAAGTCCTACTATCAGAATTAGGTGGGTTGGAAAGAATGGGGGGCAAGTGTTCAGAAATTCCTCACACATCCTCATTAGCCACTGTAGATAATTATGTAATCCTATATGACTGGATTATTGCTGCAGCTAAGCAGCCAGCAAGGTTCTTGCCATTTACGTGGCCCAAGATCTTAGGAGAATTTTGCTGGAGAATCACATAATCAGAAGACGGATCCAAATGAACAACCTGTTTGGCTTGATATGAGGTGGCATCATTACATTCCTATGCGTTATACCTTTTGGTTATGATATGTTTGGCTCAAATAAAAGAGACTATGTCTTCATAGCAGGAGGAACATCTGGCTGGCCCCTTTTGAAGACAAGGTGGAACAGAGCAGAACAGCTTAGGGCTCTTCCAGATAGCCCTTGTTCATCATGCAACCAGAACATTTCTTAAATATACCAATACCTAAAAGGTCTATTATAAAGGGAGTGAATCCTGGCTTGCTGGTTTGAACCTTGTCTTCTGTTTTGTAGTGTTTCATTCTGATATCAGTGCTTAACAAATATCTGGATTTTTTTCCACATATTTTTCAGGCTCAAGCCTACCTGAAGATTGCTGCTGAAATTGTGAAAAGACTCCCACTTTCTCCAACTTAAAGCCATTATTATGAAAAGCTTGCTGTCTGCAGAGCAACATAGGATGTAATGGAATGTATTAAACAGGATGTATTAAATTACGGAACCAATCAGATGTTGTGTTTTATGAATAAAAACTTGATCATCAAAGGAATAATTTTTAGTTAAACATTTTAACATCTGTACTTAACTACTTCTATGTAAAACAGAGGAAGCTGGCATTTAATGAATCACACTATTGGTCTACTTAGCCCAGTGTCATTGACTCTGACAGTGGGGCTTCAGATAGGATTCTTTTTCCAGTTCTACCAGGAGATGCTGGCAATTGATTCTTAGACTTTCTGCATGCAAGACATGTATGCTACCATTGAACTATAGTCCAGTAGACCAACTGTTACTCTGAAAACTGGCAGCAAATTTTCAGTATCTCCTACCAGAAATCTATTGAATTCAAGATTTTCTATGTGTCAAGTCATCTTGTTAGAATGGGGAAGCTCTATTTGGATAGAGGTTCCCTATGGCCTTTACAGTTTTTATTTACATAGAAACTTCCAAAGAGGAACATGGATCAGCACTTTTTAGATTTTGCCTCCTGCAGACAAAATGACTGCTTTCATCTATGAGCAGAGAAAAACTGGTGATAGAATGGAAGACAGGGTGGGCTTCACTGATTTCTGCCTCCCATGCCAATTCTCTCTGTACTCCCCAAATTTTCTGTGGATGTGGTGGTTGACTTCCAGAATCACAGAGCTAGTGGTGTTGAGGCATGCAAAGAGAGAGGAGTTTTGTTGAAGATCACAGCCAAATAAAATACTTAAAAAAAAAAAAGATCGCAGCCATTTTGTTTTCGGGAGTATTCTCAGTAAAATATCTCTCAAGGAATCCTCTTACCACCAGAGAAGCAGGATATAGCCCACCAAGTTATTTTATTATTTATTTATTGGACACTTCTCTCTCAATAAGGAGACTCACGATGGCTCACAGCATTTAAAAGAACAGAATTTAAAACACAATTTGATACACATTAAAAACAAATTATAAAACTGTTTAAACGCATTGGGAGGAAAAAAACCTGCAGTTTAGACTATGATAGCTGCAGCACAGTGAAATTAAAAATAATGGGATAGGTGATTTCACTGTGAAGAAAATCACTCACTCAGTCTGGCTCCACCCGTTTCATTAACGAATATTGCCAAATTGCCAGACTTCTGAGCCATCAAGCAATTAGTGAAATATGATAAGAACTGTCTTTCCCTCTTTTTGCATTCTTTTCTTTGTCAGCTGATGCTTAGTCACTAGGCAATTTCGCATTGAAATTATCAAAACAAATTACTTCATTTCCATGTATCCTGTTGAGCCCGAATAAATCCAGAATTCAGCAACAAGCTCTTCATTAAAATTAAATCTATCTGAGATCTGATTGCTGAGGGAGGAACTAGGCAATAGATATGAATTACTAATGATCGCATATATGAATATATTCACCCCAGGAAGTAATAACCTTGAATACATAAACAAAAGATATAATTGCCACCTTTCCCCACTATCACGTGCTGAGAAGTCTTTGTTGGCATTTTCTTCTGCTTTGAGTTTTGTATTGTTAATTTTGTACCCATGTTGCTGGTCAAAGAGCACAAACAACATGAACTATGTGGGCTTGTGTGTTAGCGAGAGCTCCGTTAGTGTTGGCTCACCCATTTCTGCCTCCTTTGACTTCACACCACTGTATGCCCCTCCAATGACATGGCACACTGACTCAGATACACAGTGTAAACAAGACTGTAGTTTATTGAACAAGATTGAATTGGTAACCGTGTGTTTGACTTCAAGTTAAGTCCTTGCCACATTGTTTTCCAACATATGCTAACCAAACAAAAGGAATCTCCCTGTGAATGTAAGCACCAGAGATGAACACTTCAGTAATGCCATAAATAGCATGAAGAGAGCTTTCTGCATTCAAGGAATCAACTTGACGGCAATTAATTATTATTTCTTCTTAATACTTCAAGTGTGTGCTTTATCTGTGCAACTAGAAGTGATATTGCAGCTGCTTATTAGTATGCTGTTTGCAAAACTGGAAGGAAATCTATGTATCCAATAATTGTTAAATGAGGGTTTTTTCCTCCTTCAAACAGGTCTAGTTAAAAGATGATTGTTCTATGGGTGACATGGGTGTTAAGCTGTCACGTGACTTTTCTGCTGAAGGAGTTATTTAGATGCCTGCTTCTCTAGAAAAGGGCAGGCTGGAAGTTACCAGTTGCCACTTTTACTCACCTGTTGGGGAAAGATTTCTGGTTTATAAAAGTTTGCACCTTTTATCTATAGCTTTGGATGAGATTTAAGTGTACATGCCCATGCAAACACTGTGACTGGCATGTGAGCATCTACTAGTAAAGTGTCATATTGCATGGAGAATTTGGAAAGTAAGTAGTGATGAATATATTAGTTTTGCTCTGCTTTTCTGCTTTTTTCTTTGTGTTAGCAGTTTTACCTCACTGCTTGAAATTTAGTATGGCTGTTATAAGACTGTTTCACACTTTCACCTGCATCAGTATTACTTTCTGGCATTTTAAAAAAACTTTGTTTTAAACTTTTAAAAAGTGTTCTGCCTAAAACAGGTGGGCAGTTCATAAGGTGCGTGTGAGCTTTTGCTGAGAAAAAGCATTAACACCAGTGAAAAAGGAAACTTAAGAAAACATCTTAGGAGAGGGGAAAAGACATTAAGATCTTCTCTATCCCCTGTTTGGTCCTGCAGGCTGGGCTAGGTGCTTGTGCAAGCAATACAAGTGGTTCCGGATCCTGCCACTGCCAGTACCGCCGCCCCTCCCCTCCCCCATGCAGCCCCTCTGAGGTTCCAGAGACACCAGTGTGTCTCTCCACACGGAAAAAGGTTGTTCAGCCCTGATCTGAAAGGCCATCAGCATGATTTAGGCTTGAAAGCAGTTCTGTCAAAATGCTACTGGTACTCTTAGGGCAGTTTATTTTCCATGGCACCAGCAGGTGCACATTTGCAAAGTTCACATAAGAAAACTATCCAGTACCTAACTGTACAAGCAGTTTCATGATAGTACAACATGGACTTGATGATCTATAGGGTCCCTTCCAGCTCTGCAGTTCTAAAATTGTGTTTATGCCTCTATTCCTTGGATTGCTGCTTGCACTACCATTTCTACAAGAGTTTATTCCTGCAGAAGTGTGCCGGCATAGATTTTCACTCTGCCAGCACTGAATTTAGGCTTCAATTTTGATCTGTAATAATAATATAATAGTAGAAATAAGAAATCCAGTTAAAAGAGGAGGATAACTGTGAACTTAAAAGTGGACACTTTTGGTCCAATAGATGGTTCAATAAAAGGAGTGACAGATCTGCCAAAACAGAATGGGCTTCAGTGCCTACCTCACAGCTGATGAAGGAGAAAGCAAGAAAACATTCCCTCGGGAAGGTAGTGCAGAGTCATAGTATCACAAGTAAAAAAAGCCTTCGCAGCTGCTTCATTATATGTGCTTTACCTCTGGCTACAAGAGGTAAATGCCTTTGTGCTGTATTTTCATCTGACTGGAAAATTGTATCTGGCTTTGTGGGTACCCTGGACAACTAAAAATACAAGTGGGTTCTAGATCAAATCAACCCACTTGCTTGGAAAGGAAAAATGAAGAACTCTGGAAGAATTTCAAAAATGATGAAACTTAGACTGCCAATGTTGGGCAGGCACATCACAAGAAGGTAAGATTCACTGGAAAAGACAAAAATGCTAGGAAAAGTTGAAGGCAGCAGGAAAAGAGGAAGATCAAATATGAGATGGGTTTTACTTCATAAAGGAAGTCATAGCCTAGAGTGCCAATGATTTGAGCAACTTTTAGTCTGAGCTAGGATCTACCAATTGAATCAGTGGTATCTTAGTAAGTTTACATTTACATGAGTTCCATTGATTCAATTAATCTACTCTAGTTGGGACTATTTAGGTCATTGCCTGCATGTGACATTAACACTGCATAATGTAGAACTATTTATATAAGCACCCACAGCAAAAAAAAATAGCTTTGGTATTGTGGTTCAGTAGGGATTCCATTGTTTTGCCTGGCAGCATGAGCTAACCAGCTGCAAATATGAGACAGTCATCTTTGGACCGTGTGTGAGAGAGAGCTCCAGTGGAAGTACTTTTGGAACTGTATAGTGGTCCTCCATTCTACTCTGTAGAGGAGGGATGGGCAACTATACAGCTAGATATTCCCAAACTTCAGCTTCCATTAGCCCTAGCTGGTACAGCCGATGTCCTGTGACTATCCAACCACATCATCTAGAACACTGGTTCTTAACCTTGGGTTACTCAGGAGGTGTGGACTGCACCTCCCAGAAGCCTTCACCACCAGCTGTCCTGACTGGGGTTTCTGGGAGTTGCAGTTCAAAAACATCTGAGTAACAAAGGTTAAGAACCACTGATCTAGAAGGCCACCATGGCCCAACGTCTTTGGAAGGGCTGCCATCCTTCCTGTAGATATGTGGGATTCACCAGCATGAATACCAGCAATCATTATGTCAGACTGCACAGGGAAGCCATTGAAATCCACAAGCACCAGCACAGTTTCAACAAAAAAGAGGAAAGTATGAAGCTCAACAAAACTTGGCTCCCAGCTTTCAAAAATACAAGGTGCAAAGGGTCAACGACCTCTACCCAGCCACAAGGACAGGGGATCACTACATACAAAAACCAGCTAATGACACCCATCAACCAAAGGAACAGATAATCTCTTCTTCTTAGCACAACAATACACCCACAACAATATACACTAATCACCCATCTACAGAAAAAGACAAAAGCCTATCTCACAGCCATAAATACTGCACTCCCAAGCCAACTACACCAGAGCACAGAGTGCGGTCCTCTGAAGATGCTGGCCACAGAGACCGGCGAAACATTAGGAAGAACAACCTTCAGAACATGGCCAAAGAGCCCGAAAAACCCACAACAACCATTAGATCCCGGCCATGAAAGCCTTCGCGAATAAATCCAATTCATTGTTATAACAATAGATATTTAGTGACCAGAAATGGAGAACAATCATGTGTTATCTGAAATACAAGGGGAAGAGGGTAAATAGCAGGGATGGTGGCAAGTCTCTGGGTCTCAGTTCCAAATCGAAGTCTTTGGTAGAAAGTCCTGAGTCCCAAGTCTGAGTCATCATGAAAAACAAGCTTTCCCCCTACCCAGAAAAAAGGGAAGGGGTAGGTGGACTTGAGACTTGACTCTGAGTCTCAAGTCAAGTCTCAAGTTGAGTCACTAGTGCACCTTAAGTCCAACTTGACAGTGAGTCCTGCAGCTCGAGTCCTCATCCCTGATAAATAATATCTTTTTTTCTTTTTTCCCCATCTTTGATCCTCTCCTGTTCAATGCCTTGCATTTCTGCACCTCAAGAAACTGCAAAATTCAGGCTGACTCTCTCCACACATGCTAATGGGGTATTTGTGGTCCAAATAGTTCCAAATATCAAATTAAATATAAAATAGTGAAGTGATATTTCTAAAAAATATCAAAAACAGGTGAATGTTTGAGTCTTGCAGAGTTTGGGTGAGAGAAGAGAGATACAGAAAAATCCAAAGCCAGCTGTTTAAGGGTCCAGGGTCTCATAGTGAAGTCCCAAATGGAGGCTGCAACCAGCTTGAGGTATAAGGTTTCACTTCAGGGGGTGTAGAATGAATTGTCATGTTCCATCTCTTGCTATGGACAAACAGCTGCATTATAAATTTCCTTGGATTCTGTTTCATATAAACAGGTATTGCAAGTAATGCCATATATACATTTTAGTAATGCCTACAG